TATATTGCCTCCTTAATGGGTTTGTTTTCAGCTGAAGACTAAAAAAAAAAATAAAAGATCTTTTTTGACGGAAAGAGTTAAAAAGTATAATAAGTTGGTTCTAGGTATATATCTCATTTGCAGTTTATTACATTTAATTGTTTTAGTTTCTAATACTGCCCTACAATATTGAAAATCTACAAATATTTGTGCTTGAAATTTTTTGAAAATCTTGATAAGATATAATATATAATATGTTATATTGTTTTTCTACGTTATCTTGAGAGAATTGACTAAAGATTGATTAATTTAAATTAGATTAGATTGTTGACATTTAAACCAACTGACTAAAAATTATTTTTAAACATACAGTAATTTGAACTGTTTGCTCATCAAACCCTATCATTAGAGACAATTTTCAAATATAAACTAATCTATCATTGAAAATAAAAAAATTAGATTAGCTTTTTTTATTAATAAATACTCTTCAGCAGATCAATTATTAGCTTTTCAAATTATCGATCTAGTCCGTATGATGATTTCGGAATTGGACAGAATAAATCTTTAATATCTGGTGTTTTGTTTTTAAATTTGACACATTTCAGAGAAATCATCTTAGTGCAATCAATTCAATTCTAAAAAGCGAAAATAGTTTTGGTTTTATGCCTATGAATGTTAGAAAATCTTTATAATAATTATGTTACCAGTTACCAGCGTTAGATAAATCCGGTGTTATTAAGAAGGACCTGACATTTGTTATACCCCTGTGATTTCTCTTATGGAAACCAAGTACAGTATTGGATAAACTTACAGATTAGTGTTGATTATATATCAAGGAATAGAGCAAATAAGAACAATATTATTAGCAATTTCAGACATGCAGTGTACAAACTACTTGTTTTTTTCAAAATCATTCATAGATTTAGTTACATTATGTTAAACTTTAAAGAAAATGAATTTTTAGCTCTTCGTTAAAGAAATTCATTTCATTGGTTCTTAAGGGCATGATTTTTGTTGTAGTTACTGAAATCTTAAGGATCTTTTTTCATGTTTCTCTAAAAGTCCAATAATTGCGACGACTCCTACTGTAAACAGAAAAGTACAATAACATAGCTGAAACGTTTTTAAATATTTTGTTTATGATTATCATTTTATAATCTTTATAACCATTCTACAATGTTTTTTTAAAGGCTAATATCTCATTCTGTGAAATTTAACAGTGACAATCTATAAACTAATACAAAACTATATTATTGATATCATAACATCATAATACCCTGAAAACTCTGGCTTTGTTTATGGTTTTCAAAAAGCTTGTTAAGAGTTAAGCAGAGACCTTAAAGAAACGGTATGGGTTTTTCTTTAGATTACGCTGATTTATGTTGCAAAGAAAAAAATGATATTCAGAAAAAGTGGCAAAAGAACGAAGTTTTAGTTCTTTATGCTGTTATAGCTTTTAGCATAGAAAATTTCAAGGCAAATGTTCAGTTTACTATTGATCATACTTTACCTAGATTTCTTGGTGAATTTTTATGTATTCAGGTAATGAATCCAAGTGCTTTGCTTTTATAATTCTTTCTGATACCAAGGCAAAAACTACCAAAATGTTTAGAGTCAACTTTTACTTTTGAATTGTTTAGCAAATAATTTGATGACGTCTTTGATGAGTCACGCTGTAATGATTATATGGTATCAATTGTATTGAAATATCGAACTTGTTGCGTTCCAATACCTTGATTTTTTACACATCATCGATTACTCTCACTCGACAAATGCTATCATATTTTTGCTTAGTGTGTAAGAAGTGTTTGCAATTGAGAAATCACTTAGAGAGAAAACAATAATGCACTTGAAATCTTTAATATTAGTTTCTATCTTTAAAAAACCCTGCCCGTATGTTGTTCTGGGCCGATTTACAACGCCTTTGAAAAGGTTTCGTAGCTTGATTATAATATACTCTAGTTTTTCTATTAAAGCTCTTAATGGTTTAATAAAAAAGTGATGTATGTATGCAAAAAATTTTGTGAACTTTCAATGTTATATTAAAAATATTTCAAACTCTCACTATTCAAAATTGGAAGGAAAAACTAGAAATCTTTTAATTATTAAACAATTGGCATTTTAGATAGATATTGTTCAATGATCATAACCTTCATATACTTTAAATTCTATTTTTATAAAATCCTATTAACATTATATTCCCATATAAACCATCATAGTTTGAGACGTGTATGTGTCTGGCGAGTTTTTTTTATTGACAATGCCATTAAGTTTATAACTAACCATTGAACTCTAGATATCTTTACGTCCTGGTTAAATTCATTAGAAAAAATTATTAATAATTAACGGTTAAACAAAAATCAGAGGGCGCCAGTTCAAGAAATGAAAACTTTAATGGATGTGTATGTATTTATGAAAAAAAAAAACTTTTAAGGCTTTAGGGCGCGCTGCATTGTAGGAGATAAATTTGAACTCAAAAATGCATGTCGAAATTTTCTTAATGACTTTTATTTGTTTAGACAGTCGATTGCGCATTACCGAATAAAAATAATATTGTTGTACACGAAAACTTGTTGGTTCTGTCAAAATATTAAAAAAAGTACTGACTGGTTTCAAAAAAAAAAAAAAAGAAAACAATTTTCTAATATTATTCTCCATATTATTTAAAGTAGAAATTTGATTTTAATGAATAAAGATTTGAGTTTGTTTCTTTTTTAGTAATTTTCATCTTAATAATAGAAAATAAAACCCCTTCATATCCCAACAAGACAATGAAATCTAATCGGCATTTGTCAGTATTGTTTCTATTCTCTCCTATTTTAAGAAGACATGAAACGATTTTTGATGAATTTTGTTTTATATTGTATTTTTTTAATGTAGTATTTGGCAGATCGTGTAACTTTCCAAGGTTTTTTTACTGCACCTTCATTATAGTTTTTACTTACAAAACAGCATCCTGATATGATACCATAAAAAACACGTTATAGCAATGCATAAGCGATTATGGCCTGCAGGTACTCTTAAAGTCTTTTAAGAAATAATAAGAATAATCTATCTTTTGACTGAATATATCTTCATCTAAAGTTATTGGATAAAACAATAGGTTTTAAAAGAGATGAAAAATTCTTTGAGTAACTCAATGAAAATCATTAAAATTTATCATACTATCCTTGAATATTTGTTTAAATTTTTTTAACTGAATTGATCTTCATAGAGCTTTATTGTTTTTTTGTCAAAGAAAAATTTGTTACAGCCAAGCGAAAGCTTGCGCAATCCCGTTAATTCCTTAAGATTAATGCACTTTTAAGATTTCAAGACATACATATGTCGACTTCAAAACATTTATTAGTACTTTGCGATTTAAGCTTATTGTGAAGATAGAAAGAAAAAACTATTTTAAGCTAGATAAAAAACATTATGGCCTTTTATTGATTGTATTATATTAATAAAAAATTAATAAAAGGTGTACTATTTTTTTAATCATTAATTTGGAATAATTTATTTAAAAAATTATGAGAAACGTCTGACTAATTATTTTTGTAAACCTTAGTTGGTGTAATAACAATTCGCTTACCATTATAAAGACATCTAAACATAAAATCATCTTGAAGCTCAGATTATTTGCCTCAAGTTAATATCAAGGCTGATTAAATATCCTTTTCCATACCCCTTTTTGGATCCCTTGCTTTAACCTTTTGTAGTTTTTGGTAATTAAAGTGGTTCCTTGATTCACATCCTTAGTAGCAGAGAAATCAATTCTGTCTTCAATTTCAAAAAATTTTAAACGCGTACCGTGATTGATTCATTTTATTTCTCGGCAATATAACTTTGCATGAAAATTTTAAACCTGTCAAGTTTTCATGTGGGAAAAAATCTTTGAAGCCAGCGAAAAAAGTCTTTTTTAAAAAATAAATAAAAAATCGAGGGTATGCTTAATGAGTATTATCAAATATCAATATATTTAATTTTAATGAGTTGTTTTCTTAAATTTAAACAAGACTACAAAGTTAATTATATTGTAAAAAAAAACTAGTTTCGCATGTTACTCTCTTATTTCCACAAGATTTTATTTAAAAAAATGGGAGGTGAAAGTAGATCTTACGATACTGTGGATATTTTCTTCAATTGAAAGCTAAGAAGATATTTTGATTGTTTGTTTGTTTGTTTGTTTTTATTCAAGGGTAATAGAACTATATAACATCAGCATCTGCGCTATCCTTTTATTGTCTGACTATGTGACTTGCCGGTTTTCATTTGTACCTTTTTAGTACGGGTGGTTTCTGTTCTGTGCGTCTCCGGTAGCCCGGAAGATGGGCCCTAATGCCAGCTTACGAGAAACAGGGAGAACCAGTCTGTCGGTCCCAAAACCTTCCCAACCCATTTCCACTTAAAGATATTTTGACTATATCTTGATGTTGGTATTTAAAGCAAACTTTTCTCATAATTTGTTGCCCTAACAATAATATGATGAGATTTTTACAAACTGGTTTATTTGGTTGTTAGTTTTTATTCACGGCACAAACCAATTTGGTATGATAGAATGCAAAAGTTCCTTTTTCAATAAAACTTGTGAAATGAAAAAAAAAAAAAAAAAAAAAAACAGTTTGTTTAAAAAATTGCATAAATCTGTTTTGATCTGATATTTTATCTTAAACTGATTTTTTTTTGGTTTGGTGTTCGAATCTTACATTGTGATAAATATTTGAAGTTAATTTTCCGGTTTTTTTTTTTTTTTGAAAATGTTTAACGGCATACGGCTGAACATCAAAAAAAATTTTTAGTGCCCTTCACAGCAAAAAGAGAAAAAAATTTTCCCAAGCAGTCGTCAACTCTTGTTTTCACAAGATTTTTTGTAAATTTGATCTTGAAAAAAAAAAAAAATATTCCCCAATATACAGTACTATCGTTTTTCAGCATTTTAGAGACTCAGATTTGCAAGCGAAAAAACAGTACTCTTTCTTATTTTTTTTTTCATTTCTAAGCTCCTATCTTTTTTTTTTCCTTTAAAACAAATAGAAATAATGGATTTAGTATCGACAAACCAACAGCAACAGTTGATTGCACAGCAGTCAAACGAATGGACCGAGGAACAGCAGATTCTTTTGGGTCAAAAAAATATTCTTTCAGAAGATGTTCTCCGAAAATATAATCTTGCTGGTCAGCTTGCACAGACTGGTCTTGCATACGTCGAGACCTTGCTTCTTGAAAGCTTGAATGAAGATATTGATTCCAACACCAATAGTGGCATGTCTGTTGGTGAGATTAGCAGAGCCGGTACCAGATTTTTGCAAAGCTTAATTCAAGGTATCAGCAGCATTCAAAAAAAAGAGGAGGGTGAAGAGAGAGGTCTTGCCCACCCAGTTAGAATAGAAAAGGCAGGGTTTGTTGACGGTGTTGCGCCAGACCATGGTGACTCGTTTCAAGGTGGGTTTCTTAGTGATAATGATATCGTCAAGGTTGTCATTGGTGTTCATATTGATGGTTATACAGCTGAGGTTGCGCACACTGTTGTTGTGAAGGATTATGCGAAATACAAGGCTAGCCACGAAGACAAGCAGCAAGAGATGCCAGTACAAGGCCGTCCAGCTGATGCAGTGTGTGCTGCTTACTTAGCTTCTGAAGCACTTGTTGCACTTCTTGGTTTGACAGTTTCTGTCAATGGCACTGATTCCCAAGCACTTCTTGGAGGAGCTGGTGAAGTTACTGGACGACACATTAGAAAACTCGTCGAGACTGTGGCTAAGGCATTTAAGGTTCAGGTTGTTCCAGGAAGCCGTGTTCGTCGAATCCGACGTTTCCTTGCTGGACAAGACAACATTGTTGTGGAGCAGGATCTTGATCGCAAATGCGTTGAATGGGATGAAGAGAACCAGGAACTGGAGCAAGAGCTTGAGGTTTCTGCAGCTGCTGCCTCTGCAGTTACAGAAAAGTCTGAGGAACAAAAGAGTATAGAGTCAAAGTACCAGGCATTTATTGAGAGCAGAGACATGAAGGACGACGGTGTTAGAGTTTTACCTGGAGAGGTTTGGCTCGTTGACATTCAAATGGCTGGCGGCCCACAATCACCCAAAGGCCGTATTGTGCGGCGCACTTTCCAAGGATATGATGAGAGTGGTATTATCCCCCCTCCTACCATTTATTCTCGCGATGTTTCTGTCAAGTACGATTTGCGCTTGGCCAATGCTAGAGCGCTTTTGGGACAGGTCAATTCAAATGCTTCTGTTTTCCCCTTTACTTTATCCCAGGTTGTTTTGACTCCATCAAAATCCTCTGCTGCCGAAAACTCCAATGCTGTTAAAATTATTCCTGCTGAACTTCGGGCTGCAAAGCTTGGTGTTAAAGAACTCGTTAATCATCACATGTTTGTTCCTCATCCTATATCTGTAGCTGTTTGGGAGCCTGCTTCGCTGACCATTTCTTCTTCAAAGGGAGCCAAGGATGACAGTTTACCTGTTGCAAGAGAAATGTCTACTGTTGTTCTGGTGCCTGCTTCTGTCCATCCTGAAGGTCATGGTGAAGTCTTACGGTTGACTGGTGGATCTGTTACTGGGCAGCCTGCTTATGTTCACAGCAAATACCAAATTGAAGATGCCGATATCTTGAAACTTTTGGAGCTGGTTCAAGACAACCGCTTTGGTATCCGCGTTAGAACAGTCCAACCTGCCAGCGAAAAAGAAGCTCTTGCTGTTGTTGGCGCTGCTAACGCTCCCGCTCAGGACGATGATGCTATGGAATAATTTAGAAATTTAGTGTATTAATTCAATGACTTTAAAAAAAAAAAAAAAACTACAAGTGTACGAGTAATCATAAAAATAAATGAGTTTATTAAAATATAAAATCGTTAAATATATGCTTTTGGTTTTTTAAAGAGAGGGTGCACTTAGGCCTTCTCAAGCTCATCACTAAATAATAAATAATTAATATCATAATCACGAATTGAAGTTTTTGTTGAATAATGCTATGAGCCTTCAGGTAATAAATTGTGGATGGCGAGTTAAACGAAAGAAAGCAAACCCGGGGGGGAGATGATTGGGGCTCGACACAGTTTCAGAAACATGAAGATACCTTCAAGGATTTACTTCGTTTCAGTTTCAATATTCTCAGAGATTTGATCACTAAAAACAAAACAAGTTATAACATCTATTACGAAGAATCTTATAATTGTCAAGAGAAACAAGCATGATTTCAAAAATCAAATTACTTCAAGGTAAAAATCAAATTGCAACAAAGCTCAATTGCAATTATAGAGATTATGATGAATGCTTCTGAATTGTCCTATGTCAAGCCACCATATCCTGTTTCAAATCACTCTTCCAACATCGATTCTTACCATGAAGTATCAAGCAAATATCAAAGAGATTTAATATAAAAAAAAAAAAAAAGGAGTTGATCCAATCAATGGAAACAACGATTGAAATAATAATAATAATAATAATAATAATAGCAACAAAAGTGGAAGAAAGAATTATACTTACAGGTGCTTCTCGACCTCGGCAAGGCTCTCCTTTTGCTTCTTGAGGGAAGCTCTCAAAGCAGCGAGCTTCTCCTTCTCAAGCTGGCGGACGTACAAGTCCTCAACAGCCTTCTCTCTCTTCTATAATACATTTTAAAAGAAACAATGTTAGCATATATTTAAATTAACAAATTTTTAATACAAAGAAAAAACGGGAATTTTTCCGGGCAATTGACTTACGTTGAAGCTGTCAGAGGAACCGGCAGCACGGGGGGCACCGGTGGCACCTTCAGTGTAGAAGCGGACAGCAGAGATGGAGGATTGAACGGAGCGGCGGGAAATGGCACGGGACAACATTTTTGTAGATATATAGGGTAGTTTGATGTTTTGTAAAAATAACAAATAACAAATAACAAAAAAAAAAAAAGAAAAAGGTGGAGAGTGTGGTGGATAGAATAGAAAGGAGGAGATATGAAAGGGAGGAGGAGGGGAGGGAAAAAACAGACGTTTAAGGGCCAGTCCAGCAACGAATTAAAACCGCTAAAAAAATTTTGAAAGAGGTGGCACACACTAGTAGTAGTCAGTTGGACTGATAGCAACCACTCCGGTTATCACGCTATTTTATGGTACCCCGTGACTAGTGGTATCAACCAATCAGTCGTTAGTGCTACACAAATGTTATTAATAATTTTGCATTTATTAGTAATCATTAGTAATATTTAATTTAACAATTTAACAAGGCAAAAAGCCAAAGATTTAATATGCGGCTATATTTATATAAATAGTATAGTATTGTCCTTCAAATAAACTATTTAAACATTGACTCGTAATTTAGAAACTCATTTCAAATTTATACCTGCCAGTGCGAAATAAAAATAAAAAAAAAAAAAAGAAAAACAGTTTAAAAGGATAAATCTATTTTTACTATTATTATTATTATCATTATTATTATTATTTTCTCAATTTGACGTGCACCTTTTTTTTCTAGTTCAGTGTTAATCCATTTAATGTGTTAACTCGAAACTCAGTGCGATACAAATGATAACAAGGGCATTTAATCTATTTAAAAGAGGAAAATTAAAAAAAATTAATGTTGTTTTAAGTTAATTTTTTTTATTTTATTTTTTCTCTTTTAAATAGATATTGAATAGTTTTTTTTTTTTTTTTTTATTTATTCTAAAAGTCAATCAGTTATTTATGTGGTTGTTGTTAACCGAAAAAGTAATTAAAAAGTTGATATCAATCTGGATCTTTTAAAATAAACTTCTAGATTTAGTAAAAAAAAAAAAAAAAAAAATATCGATGCAATTAGTTCATTTCAAATTCTTTATTTATTTAAGTTTTTTTTTTTGTTTAACTAAAAGTAATTTGCAAACAAAGTTGTTAAGAGTGAGTCTGGTTTAAGCACATACATCTTTTATTTTATTTTATTTTATTTTGCGCCTGCAATCCAGCAGTAATAATTTGAGCTAATCTCAATATATAAAGATAAAAGAGAAAATATATATTTATATAAATAATTTGATACGTAATAAAATACTAACGCACTAATGCATTTCGCCAAAGTACTAAAAAGATAAATTGTTAAAGATCTGATTCTTATTCAAATATTTTAAAATACCTAAAGGCTGCAATTGACTCATAAGCCAAGTATCTAACTTATTGAATACTTTAGAAAATAAAGGAAATAAAGGAAATAATAAATATATATGTTTATAAAAGAAATTGTTGTAGTTTTGTTTTGAAATCAAGCTATATGGAATTATACTCACTATATGATATATATGTACTACATGTTTTCTATGTTGCATTTCTAGGACTCAATGCTTCAAAATCAAATGTTTTAAAAATATTTCCAAGACAAGTAAAAACCCAATCTAATCAAATCTGGAATTTAAACTAAATATTTAGTTTATAACTTTTTCACTTTCTTTTTATAATTTTTTTTATAATTTTTTTTTTGTTACCATGCTTTCATTCAGGTACATTAATATTAAAAGATCTAAGGGGGAAATCATCTTGCAGATACAGTTTCTGGCTAGTTTGTTGTTGGAAACGTTTGTCAGTTTGTGTTTGTTTGTTTGTTTTTTTTTTTTTTTTTTTTTTTTTTTTTATTCGAGGGAAACTTTTGCCAGGACAAAATGATCGTGTCTACAACAAAACCTCTTGCAGAAATTTGCGTAATAAAAAATTAATGTAGCAATAAAGATAATAAAGATAATAATAATAATAATAATAATAAGTATTTCGAATTAAATAATTATATAGCAGGCGTTTTTATCGGAGTATTTTTTTTTTTTTTTGTAGAATAGCCGAAAATAATACTGTGTTCGTCAGCACCTAGTTAAGTCATAACTACTAAGTAATTTTAGATTATCAAAACATTACTGGTACGACAACAAATTAGATTTTAACTCTTATTCAAAAAAAAAAAATTGTTAGTTTTCAATTTTAACCAATTCTATGTTTTTTTTTTTTGCGTTCTACTAGGCTTTGTTTTCTTAGTTAGAAATGTTTATTAGGAAAATATTATTTATAAACAAAGTGACTTGAATCTACACTAATTTTAAAATGAACCATTATCTATGAGGTCACCATATTTTTTTATTTTTATTTTTGGGGAAACGAAAATAATCTGAATGACAATTGAATATATTTTTTCTTTTAAATAATTAATTCTATGTATTGTTTAATGGTAGTTACTTTATAAATATATATATATATATATATATATTTATTTATTTAGTATCGTTGTAATTGGAATACAAAATAAAAACTAGCGAGAGTCACCTGTTGAATCACTAAGAAACAAATATGTCTTGACTTGTTTCTTTCTTAACAAAGAATAGGAAATGTAGTACTGGAGCTTAAAGAATTAATAACACGCAACTTTATATGAGCTTTAAAAAGATTAAAATAAAGGTAAAACAAATTTCAAACTGTCGGTACAATTTCTAAAGTTAGGTCTTACAAATGTTCTGTTAAATTTCCTTATTGATCGAATGTAGATGATTCTCCTAATTAATATGTCAAATAGCTATCTTTAAAGTCACGCTATTATTTGAAGTTGAAGGTTCGTTAATGTTTAAATGTAGCGAGTAGTTAACTAAAGACATTTATTTTTTCCCCCTCTCCTTCTTTCTTTTCAAAAAAAAAAAAAAAAAAAAAATATTAAGCTTAACAGAACTCATGATCATGATGAGAGAAGGAAACTAGGTACATAATGGCTACGAATACCCAATTATCCTAATATAACTCTTGAAAAATAAGCTCAATATGACCGTTTTGGAAATTTAGTAATTAAAGTGCGCTTAAAAGAACAGGAAAAAAAAGAAAAGAAAAGAAATTTTAAAAAACCAAAGAAAGAAAATTAATCTATCACCTGACAAACAAATAAGATCAATCTAGGAACGAACCAAAAAAAAAAAAAAAAAAAAAAATAGACTGAATGGATTTTTAAAAAAAAAAAAAAAATTATTTAGGACCATTCGCCAGCCTTGCAATGCTAAGGTATAATTAAAACAATTAAGAAAGGAAGTTCAAATATATTATTCCGTAGGATCATTAATAGCTGTGGTAGAAATTTCATTTTTTACTTAACAAGAAACGGCTTAGCTTGTAACGGTTCATGAATAATGCTTTTTTTGTTTTTTATATATATACCTGAAAATACGTATTGCAATAACATCTCCACTTCCAAAAAAAAAAAAAAAAAAATTCACTCTTTTAGCTACTTCTTTTAGAAAACTTTGTGATGCCATAAAGACCGTTTTAAGAACAACTGGGTTTGTGTATATATGTTGGTTTTGACTTACACCCTTCATATCTATCTAAAATACTATAGCACTTATTATCATTACAGGCGTCATTCTCTCGATATTCAGCATGATTAGGTATATCTTGTATTAAGTGGAAATTCCTTTTGGAAAAAGCAATAAAATTTTTAAAAAAAAAATTAAAAGTATGTATCCTAAATACAAATGGTGATGATCTGGATGCTTTTGTCTCTTAACAAATAGTGTCTATCAACAAGCCTTTCAAAATGATCCTTTTTTTAAAAAAAAAATTGAGTAAATATTACCGTCTTGTGAGAAACATAACTGTAACCGTTTTTTTTAGGATATCTCGTAGCTTTGAGTAGCAACGTTATTTAGAATTTGAAAAATAGTTTTCAACTGTCGTCCCACGGTGATGGAGTGCTTAAAAAAATTGTCATTTTTTTTTTTGATACCTTGGTAATAATAATAATAATACTTAAAAAATATTTTGAAACAGTTATTAATTAATTAACCATATCAAAATATATATATATATATATATACATATATCATTGCCTTTTTTTTAATTGAAAAAATATTTGAATTACGAAAGGAAAGTTCTCTTGATTGTTTTATCCAACTTTCATTTAAGAAGAATTAAGCAAATTTATCGTTATAATGAAATTTTTCTTCTATAATATTTTTTTTCTTATGAGAATAAAATGAGAATTGGATATCGAGAAACTAAGAAAAATTAATCTAAGATTAGATATCAAAAATTATAAATCAATATTTAGTTTCCTTTTTTTATTTTATTTTATTTTATTTTATTTAATTTAATTTTAATTTGATTTTTTTTTTTTTGGTTATAAAATAGGAGAAAGAGAAAGTTTTTGATTAGAAAAATAAAAGTTAATTAATACCTTATTTCTAAATTGAAAGAAATTAAGCGAGAATAGGGTTCCATTCTTTTTTCATGATAAACGCATGTAATGTTGTAAGAGGAGAATTTTAAGGATGGATATCAGACAATGATTGAAAATTTTCACATATTGGTTGCACGATGCCGTCGACCCATCGATGCTCATCGTTCATTAATAATGAATCCAATAAAAAAAAAAAAACCAGGAGTACAAACTACTGTTGAAAATTAATTATTATTATAATTACAATTTTTTTTTTTTTAATTTTTTGACTCAAAAAAAGTATACAAGTGTTTGAATGGTTTTCAAATATTTGGAATGAGAGTGGATATTAGGGGAAAAAAAAAATTTGAGAATGATTTAGGACAAAAATGCCTCTGTTAGTGTATTATTTCCATCATTGAGTTACATTATAATGTAACTAAAAATAATTTTTTTTTTTAATTGGTGCAATAACAATATCCACTTCCAAAAATTATATATATATATATTTTTCGTAGCAGGTTTTGCAAAATAACACCACTTGGATATTATTAGACAACGCGTTATCACGGTAATAGCTCATCGCCGTTTAACTTTTTCCCCTGTTCTTGTTCTTATTCATTTTTGTGAAGCGTTTTTCCTGAAAAAAAAAAATTTTTTTTTTTTTAAAAGTTCCATAAGTTAGGTAATAAAC